CTAGCGCGTCGCGGAAAAAACGAGCGTGTGCGCCGTTACGAGACGCAGAGATTGGTACCCGATTTTAAGGTCCTAGGTCAACCGGTGACCTCTGAGGTCAGGTCAAGTGCCCCAGGGTACGGTTCAGTTTTTGGTGAATAACTTCGCAAAAAACGGCCGCAGAGCCGCGATTTTGGCAGCATCGTGTTCGCCTCGCTCCGGCGCGTCGAATGATATACTTTTTGTCCGGGTCAGGTCAACTTGGGATGTTGACCTCAGGTCAAGGTCAGGTCAGCACCCCCAGGTCACGAAGTTGGTCGAAAGGGGTCATGTCGCATATCATTCGATTCGGCAGGTCTTCCTGAGTCCATTGGTGGCTTTCTCGACTCGCTAGCTCAATTTGATCAAGAGTTATTGACGAAAAACTAATATGACCTTGATGACGTCATAAATGACGTCACGCAAGGTCAACATTGCAAAAGTGACGCATCTGACCTTGCAAGGAGTGCATCAAATCACGATTCTGTGTGCTTGAGATAGTTGGAGATCGTTCCCGGCGCCAGAATAGCAGTTTTCATTTTTCCCCATTGACTTATAATGGTGAGGTCACGAAAATGACCTGACCTCATATGACCTTTAGGAAAAATCCGAGATATACAAGTTATGAGACTCATAATGGATACTAGATCCTGCAAGTTTCATTTCCCTGTGACATCTCCTCTGGCAGTGAGGGCGTTGCGAAGTTGCGACATCTGAAGACCGTGCAGAGGTTCACTTATGACGTCATAGGTCAGTGACCTGACCTGACCCAAAAATGCGGTTGGTGTCAAAAGATGCGGCTTGGATCAAAGGTCAGGTATGCCAAGTTTCAGCTCTCTATCGCCAGCGTGTTTGGAGCTATCGCGAAAAAACCCTATGGGGGGGGGGGGGCGGCACCCGCCCCCCCCCCCCTCGGCCGGCGAGGGTTAAGGCTCATTTGAATGTGCATTACAACTCCTTTCAAAAATTCAATAAAGACACAGAAACCACTACTGTGAATAACCAACATTTTTGCAGAGAAGTGGTGAACTGATATTGCAATAATGTACCCTGCAACGCAATCTATATTGCAGGCATCTGACCGTCTACAGAGCTCCGTAAGGACTGGATCGTTATTACGATGATACACAGAGGCTATATCACCCTTTATTGAGCAATAACGAGGTAAATTGCGGCCGAGAAGTGAGCATGTGCATCACCGGACTGCTGGCAGCCAATCAGTCTTTGCCGCCATCTCCATGAACCAGAAAATTGATTGAATCACATTAGCCGAATTCCCTATGAGCTGGACGAGAATATCTCCCAAAGTGTTCATCAGATTAAACTGCACCCGGGACGAGTCCCAGCTGCGAGACATTTTACTTACCTGTCGCCTAGGTTTCCTCTCAGACACGCTAAGGAGCTGGTAGGTATTTGAAGGCAGTTTGGTTCCATTTCATACTTCATTTTATAAAACAAAGCAACAGTAAAACAGAAAGAGCAGAATGAATGTTAAAGTTAAGCAATGAAATATGCATAATAAAATGCAACGTTTTGGGTCCCGCGTGATGTCTATCGCTGTGCCAATTCTCCTCATTTTCCTCCAACCCGCTCAACTAACTCACTCACTCCTCGTCATTCTCCTTCGCGTCTCTCCTATTTATTTTCCTCTCGCTCACCGTTGCGGGAATGTCTCGCGGCGCGCGGTGTCAAGAGGCGCGCCATTTTCCGTCCGAGCGGCGCGCCTTTTTCACCCGCCATCAGCAGCGGCGCGCCACTCGAGCCCTCGAGTGTGCCCTCGGCAAATTGGCCGGCGCGGCGCATCACGCGCCGGCGCCACGGGCCCTGCTATGGGCGGGAGGCAAAAGTAAGACATGCAGAGATCGCTATGTGAAGCTGACGTCATTTACTCAACTGAAGGTGACATAGAGTGACACGGTGACGTGATGACGTGATGACACTAGCCCTACCTTTAAACCCCTTTTTACTGCTCAGGGTGCCCGGTTCCTGCATGGACAAACATAACAGCTAAAAACTGCACATCTTCAATAATCTCTTGCACCACCCTGCATGGGCTGTGCCTTCAGAGCACCGAAAGCAACATGAGCTTGGGGTCAGGCTGCACTGGCACCCAACAGCAGCAGAAGCAGCACCAGCAGTAACAGCAACAATAGCAGAAGCGATAGCAGGAGCATCAACATCACCAGCAGGTCGTTGCCGCGGTCCTCGGCTCAGAGCACCGGTAGCAGCAGCCAGCAGCACCAGCAGCAGCAGCAGTAATAACGGCACCAATAGCAGGAACATTTACAGCAGCAGCAGGTCGTTGCCGCGGTCCTCGGCTCAGAGCACCGGTAGCAGCAGCCACTCGGGGTCGGAGCCGGGCCCTCGGACGGTCACCGTGAACTGTCCACCGCCGACCAGCCGGCAGTGGCGGTCTGGCGGCGAGCCTGTGACCCCAGGTGACCCCGCCGGCGTCTCAGCCGGGGTCAGCGGGGGCGGGGTCAGCAGGGCGGCAGAGCAGCGGGCCGGGTGGGCGCAGAGAGCGGCACACTGCAGAGCAGAGGTGACCGGCAGCGGGGGACCGACGTCACCCGAGGTCACCACCGCGTCCTGCAACAGAGCCGTCAGACCGTGTGTCTAACGAACTGGCGGAAAGCATTTCAAGCACAAAACGGACATATATATTTTGATTTCGCACACATATATTTTGATATGTAAGAATGACGATAAAAAGTCACCTGCTGGATAGAAGGTGAAAAGGTATCAAAAGGATAGAAAGTGTCAAAAGCCTATTTGGCGTGGGCTTCAGCTGGGTTATTTTTTTCCAGTCTCCCAGTTTATTCCCTGCCGGAGGCATACTGCGCCGCTGCACTCCGGTGTACCGCGGCACAGTATACCCAGACAGGCCTCCAGCCGCGGCTGGCTTACTGATGGATGGAAGTCCGACAAACTGCGTATGTTTCAGTAAATGCCTGTTCGGTGGTTCCGACGGAACCACTTGATAAAGGTTACTATAATGTTGATCGAGCAATTGTCTTTATTTTAAATCGTTTCAAGAGTGCGATAATGCCAAAAGGGAACGCAATTTCGTCACTTTCTCCTTATGCTCGCTCAATTGCAAATCCCTCTGTGCCTGAATACTTGTAGATTTTTTTTTGTCCTGTTGAAAAACCCTCGTTTTTATCGTGGTAAGAAGCAGAGTCTTTATTAAAAGAATAATAGCTGTTTGAACTTTGACGGAAAGATAAGAAAACTTGATTCTTGCGAATTTTTGCCTCTCTAGAATTGCCTGAGCGCAATATCATTATCATGCTATATAAAAAGCATTAGGTACAAATCATGGCATCTCTCAAAACAGTATCGAATTAATCCTCGACATTCGACAGGTTTTCTAGAAAGGCGTTCCCAATGTGCGTGGGCATATGTCAGTAATAAGTGCTTTCTTATTTGCCCCTTAGCCTGTGCTATCAATCGCTAACTAGGCATCGACTTGACCTTAAACTTCGTAGCAGTTTTCTACAAGCGCGTCTTTAAAACCAAATTTCAATCAAATGATCTTACACTAACAGAGCACAGGGCACTCACCTGCCAAACCTTGAACACTCGACAGTCGGACACCTTCAGTAGACTGCACCCCACGAGCATCAGTCGCCACCAGATTCTCTCCATAACCAGTTACTCAGTATAATGATGCTCTGACGAACAAACAGCAGACCAGTGGCGCAACGGTATTTCAGCAATTAAACACCGGAGTTGCCGTCCTAGAACGGGTGAGCTTCTACTTCTACGGATTACGCCGGAGATATTGATATTCACTGAAAATGAGTACAGACGTGATGGAGTCGTGGAGGAGTATCTCCCGTGCTGTCAGAGGCTTCCTTTACCACCCACTTCAGTCAGAGCTGCCTGGATAGTGCGGCCACTTCTGTCACGCCCCCCGCGCCGGCTGCGAACGGGAAATAGGACGCCCGCCTTACGAATCACCTCAGGGACAAACAGCTGAAACAAATCGGCAGTTAACGAAGGGTGCGCTGACAACGCACCTCAAAATCAGGTCAGGCTAGGCAAGCGGGTATTCGTAATTTAGCTTGTCTGTTTGTGAACTGTGAACATCAACAGCTCGGGCTGAAGGATATTTTCTGTGGCGACCTCTGTGACCGGGTTCCACCCCGCAGCCCAGATCGGTGCACAATGCTCATGGAGCACCCGTTTCTGTCCAGTGCTGTGCCACCAGCGGACAGCTGCCGGGCAGCTACCGACTCGCCATCTCCGGGTTTGTGCCGTCGTCACGGTTCACTTACCGTGACTTTTAAAAGTAGGTAAGTACCACTTCTGTACGTGCTGACGGCAGTCGGAAGCAGGCGAGGAGGTATTGTGGCCATGGCCGGCGCCATTGAAAGAAACGGCCGAGACTCGGCGTCGGAAGGGTAATAGGGGATACAACGAACAACTCAAACGTCGGGCGCCTGGCTGGAGCCACGTGACTTCCGGTTAGCCCTACCGTCTCAGGGGAGTAGCACTTCCGCCCATCAAAAGACAGGGAATACTGATGGACGCACGGAAACCCTCTTCTCCTCCTTAACCTCAGTATCGGCCGCACAAAGAGGCTCAAACGTTACGGCCAAACCACAATGGCTGGTGGACGACCGGACGGGTTTGACTCGACACTGGGCATACGGTATTCGGCCGAGCATTCAGCTTCAGCGACGCGGCTCGCGACTGGGAGGTATACTGCGCCGCTGCACTCTGGTGTACCGCGGCACAGTATACCCAGACAGGCCTCCGGCCGCGGCGGGCTGACGGGCGGATGGAAGTCCGACGAACTATGCGTCTGTTTCAGTTTCCGCGTTTGGACGGCTCGACTCGATGTCCAACGCCAGCAGGCGAACTGACCGAGTTCAGCACTTTCTGAGCATCAGGTGGGCCTGTACATCGAAATACGCTTCACTCTCTCCTTCCCACTTTCTCGTGTTCAGACTTCAGCACGTTCGTCTAATCTCGAGTCGCTAATTCATAAAATCATGTTGCAACACCTATGACACTGCTATATCATATATAAACTTAACAATTTGTCAGCTTGATGTATTGTATATGTGTAGAATACTGTAGAGTATAGATGTAAGATGTTGTAGACATACGTGAACAGGTGCGGAAGAGATGCTTGAAGACATGTTTTGGTGCGACATATCACACAAGTGAATGCGCACTTCATTCACATTACCGGAGAGGGACTGTGGGGCCATGATAGCTACTGGCCGACGTCATTAACGCCTCTCGCCGCGGTGCTCTGGCACTCTCGTTGTAACGACAAAAGCCGTGTTGAAAGAGGATTCACGTATTGGTATAGCAAACTCGTAATCATCCTTTCCAATCACATCTTCCTAGATTTTTTTTTAGCACACCTCGACTGAAAGACACAGTTACGTTTTGACACAACTGGCTACCTGCCACACTGGTATAACTACAAGGTTTGATACAAAAGCCACAATGTACAAAACGGTAAAAAGTGACGAATACAGACAACAACTCGCTTCTGTGCTGCTATACCACACGATAGTGTGGGATGCATAATGCTGAAAGCGACACAGACTAGATAGGGCAGGGTAATTAAATCAACTATTCCAGCTCAAATCTGTGCATTGCACAGAGCATACGGCTTGTTCGTTCATTTCAACCATCGACACAGCCTGTCTCTACCATAAATTGATTCTACGGACCGACTCCATACCCGCACTGTTTTATATTCATATCCACGTCGTCATTCTACAGCTCAGTTCGGTGTGCCTCTGTGTGGGGTTGGGGGAGGGGGATGAGGAGGGGTCTGGGAGGTCGGGGGGAGGGGGTAAGAGTGATTGGGCCGCGCGATAGCACCGGATGGCCTCATATCACATACCAGGCGGCGCCGCACTGAAGTGAGCCCGCCGACTGAATGTTAATGGGCCGGGCGGCGCCGTCTGCCGTTCTGGCGCACCCAGCTCCCGTAATCGGGACCGGGTGACGTCCTTTGACAAAGAAAAGAGTACCCGCACCGGTCAATATTGAGCTTAATCTGGCCAGAGGTGACGTGACCAACTGGAGTGCTTCTGATGGCTTTCAAACGTAGCTGGTATGATTTTTTTCTAATGTAGCTAACTGCCTCTTGCTGATTACTCATAGCTAAGCTTCAAACAAGAATAACTTTTACCTTTTTGCAAAGCATTGGAGCCTGGAGGCATCCCATTTTCTTTCCGGTTCCAGCACAAGGCGATGCAATTTTGTTGCTACAACTGATACTTTCAAAGAAGAAAATAGCACTTCGAATGATCAACCAAGGAACGGCTACAATTTGTGGCTCTGGATTGAGGTAAGGAAGATAAAGGATCGAGCTGAGAAACACGATCGTCATATTACGGCGTGAACCTCAGGGAACCTTTCCATGATGTTCACATAAGAAACTGCGCATTTCGATATCGAAATATCGCCGCCGGACCTCACACCATCGTCTCCCTTTCTTTTCTTGTTACCCTGAGAGAAAAAGCTGGGACAAGTCCCCACTGGAAGCTGCCAAACTGCTGCGTAAAATTGTTACACATTATTGCAACACTCGAAACCGACAGCCTTTACCATTTCCTTCAATGACAGCCATCGCGCCAGCTACCCTTACATCAACTTTGCTGTCTCAACGTTCCTACAACACTTACGATAACTTCCATGCGTTACTCTTGCTCGTACCTTACATAATAACATCTGCACTAAATAGCTCCATTTTTTAGTCATATGGTCACCGAAGTATACATCCCACCATCGCGTGACATAGGGTCTGTTCCAGTCGCACTTCCTAACACCTCTAAACTCCTCCAAGAGCAATATAGAGGAGGTTGGAGCAGGGCCATCCTTGGCTTTGTAGGGGCTAGAGCTGCCACAGGAACAGGGAAGCAGTCTTGGAGGAGTTTGGGGTGTTAGGAAGTGCGACTGGAACAGACCCATAGTGTTCACAGCGCCGTGGTCGTTGTGAGTACGCCGGGCTCACAATGCGCCGGCCTTTCTGAGCCGCTCCTCCGTGAGCCGTGTCACCCCGCTGTCGGGGCGGGGCCGGGGAGCGGCTGTCACGGAGACCGTGAGCCGAGGGAAGGTCCCGAGGGGCACCAATGTCCGCGAGGTCCCGAGGGCCAACACGGTGACAGGTCAGCCCAACGGGCCACCTCGACTGGCGAGACTTGCAGTGTGGACTGGGGTCTAATCGCCTTCAGCTGAGGAGATGCCGCTGCCTGGGGGATCGAATCCGCCCGGTCAAGGTAAGAACATGAAGTGGTTTTACATACAACTGACAATAAGATACAACTGTGTAGAGCTGTGAGTTCATTGCTGAGGTGCACAGGTCAAGAAACATTGAGCGTGCCAATTTATACGTACGCTGATAAAATCGCTTCTACCGTGTAAATGCGGGAGGGAGTCTAAATCATGTAATAAAACGTTACATTTAAAAAAAGTGGAAACAATTCAAACACTAAACAGCGTAATACAAGCGCCGTACATTTTAAAACATTACATCAGAGAAATTATGGCTATAGAAAGGCATGACAAGTAATATCGGTAAGATGAGTTGAAAAGTGTCAAGACAGCTGCGTGCTAACGCAAATAGACACAGCAGCGATTTACAGCGAAGCCGGAAGCGCATTCATTTCATGCCGACTTTTACAAATGAGAGCTGTTAAATGAGAGCAAAAGCACGCATTAAACGCTGCAGAAGACAAGCAGTGAGTGAACGCAATTCGACAAGCATTAATAATTCTGTATGCATACGGGTACACAAGTATGCACATCTGTATATGTAAAAAAGTTGCGATAAAAACTCGCAAAAATAAGAAGCATAAAAGCCACACCACTTAGCAGCACATCAACAGTATCACTGTATGTCTTAGTGTGATAGGCACTCGACGCCGTGCCAATATTTACAGCTGAACTGGATATGGCCGACTGAGTATATGTACATGGAGCGTGCTATTGCTGCGCGTTCGTGATTATCACTGAAGGACTCAAAATGTCCTTTCAAACATGCCTGGCGAGGATCAAGTACATACCTACACTAAAGAGCATCACAACGTTAAATTCGGTATGATCGGATGTGCAACTGAGATCTTCCGTGGAACGTCGTCTTCACTTGCTATTTGTAGTTGATACATGCCCAATAATTGTCACCGAAATGCAAGCGACCTGACATACTTTCCGTCAACTGAATAACCGCTACAGTATCGCTCCCTTCAGCTCTCCAAAACGTATTAATATTTTGTGGTTAAGGTTACCCAAGTGAAGTGCAAATCCATGATCTCTATGAACGCTCATAAGCATCCCTGGGCATTTAAACATAAACGCCCCTGTCTTCTGGTAGATTGGATTCCTATTACCAACTTCCTAGCATTTGTTGGCATTTTAAAAGCCAACAGCAAATGCAGTCGATGAAAACACGAAGGTATCAAATCTATACAAAGTAGCACTATATCTAAGAAAACGAGGAGCATCTATGAAGAGGGTTGAAGTGGCGTGTCTTGTTTGCCACCTTGTGTCACATTTTAATGCTCTACGCACTACGACATGCAGGGACAGACACAAACCAAGGCAGCTTACAAGGCTTGCTGGTGCGCTTTATTCCGTAGACCGGACCATAGGCTGCCGTTCGCGGCGGGTGCCGCTCATGCGCTTTAGCCGCCTGCCATGCACTGACGAGGCCTGTCTGGGTGAAGTCCGGACGCCGCCCCTCCTCCGTGGCGAGCGGCCACAGCGCAGAGCAGAAGAGAGAACCCACTGAGAGCTCGGGAATCGGGGCTTCAGGATTCAAGTAGTGTGACTAGTGTGCTATGGTTGAAAGGATTCCTTGTTAGTAGGTATATGGTGGAATTGAATAAATTAAGCGCGGGGTTAGCCTGATAACTCCTTTGACTTTTGATCTCTGTAGTTACATAGGTAATGAGGGAGCGGTGGTGAAAAAATAAATAGGATGATTACTTAAAAATCATGTGGGTGCTTGCATCAAACCTGCGAGTTAAAAACTCCGTTAAATAGATTGCTACAAATGAAGGGAATTCAGGACAAGTTAAGGCCCTTAAAAAGGTTCGACAGCAGCAAAAAGGACAATTATGATCTGGTTGGTGTATCTAAACATGCTTAATCAGTGGTGTACGACATGCATTTATGTTTATATGTATAGTAATTTGGACAGCTTATTGTCAACCTGTTTTTAACATTTCAGCGCAAGCGAGGCTAGAAAAAAAATCACTTTTCCTGGAAGCGACGTTAAAGCAAAAATAAAAGAGAGGAAAACGCTAGAAAAGCAGCGAAGTTGTGAAGATTTTAAGTCATTACACAAGATAAAATATACGAAAATGGTCAATTTAAATGAATTTCAGTTTGGCATTGCAGGCATCTAAGAAGTTTTTAATTAATCCATAATGCATCCGTTTATCTAACTATTTAGGAAATAGGCAGGACAAATATCAAATGCAGGCTGCTGTTTGAGTTAAAGGGACATTAGCTAATTACCATACAACAATCTAAACAAAATGACACTGACAGAAACGTCACATTTGCCGATGTCGTGGCGTTATTACGCTTGCTATTCACTTATTATATGCTACAGACTACAGTACTCTGTGGCGTCGTCATACATTATTTATTTAGTTTTCATCACTTCTATAATTAAATCATGTACCTAATATTATCATAGCCAAGTCCTTGAAGAACAAGTAGCGTCCATACACCCGCATGCGCGCCTGCTACATCAAAAGCTGCACATACCGACATCTCTCTGAGACCAATTCTGGCATCGCGCATACCTCCATTTCTCACTCAACTGCGCCAGGATAAGCTAATACTAAGAACACAATGTCACCTCGCAGCTTATCAACTTAAGACAGCGGTCATTAACACATACATAAACCGTCTAGTAGCTGTCTGTCTATGTATATGGGTAATCTACTCGGCGATTATTTGATTTCCCTACCTATTTATCGCAACTGGAGTTCCAATCGTTTGTTGTCACCTCTCCACATCGTATTCCGACAGCTGAACGCTAACAGTGCAGCGAATCGGAGGAGGTTATCGGTAGCCCGCCATTCCTCCATCAACAGGCACCACCACGACACCGAAAGCGACGGGACAGCACGAGACAGACAGGCGCGCAGGCAGCGGCACGGGTGTGGATTGTAAAACGAGCTGACCCGTTTCCCAAAGGTGTAGTGTAGCCCAGAGGTGTCGTCAATGATGCCTGTGCATTGATGTGTGTGCGGGAGGGGCAAATCCACATTTGCCAGTTGTCCATGCATTGACACTAGGAGGCTTAAAGCAAGACTTAGTGAGTTACGTAACTTATTAACTGATCACATGAGCTGGATGGGTGTGATTGAAACATCACACCTTCACAAACTCCCCTCTGCCATCCTTTGGTGGCAATCGATTGTTCTAAAATTACGCTAAATGAGCCGATCTCTGTCCAAACATACGTGAATCACATAGCAAGTCACCGAAATGGGCCATTGTGCACACCCTGGATGTGACAGTGACGCCAGAATGAGTGTGACACACCACTGTGTGCCTGTGTGTGCCAGTGTGCGGCAGTGGCCGGCGGCCGGCCCGGCTAGGGCGCGCCCCTGCCGTTCAGTTGTCTGAGGCGGGCCGGCACGAGCACCCGGACTGACCTCAGCCTCTGTTCATCCCGTGCAGCGATCAGCCGCACCAGGTGGTCGCCGCACTCCTGCAGCGCCGTAAGCACGGCGGCCAGTCGCGCTGCGCCGGGCACCGGCCGCCGCGCGGGGCCCGCCTGCAGGGTCAGAACACAGGTCAGAGGTCAGACACTGCACCGCGCCGCACCGGGCACCGGCCGCCGCGCGGGGCCCGCCTGTGAGGTCAGAACAGAGGTCAGACACCACCGCGCCGCCCCGGGCACCGGCCGCCGCGCGGGGCCCGCCTGTAGGGTCAGAACACAGGTCAGAGGTCAGAGACCACCGGGCACCGGCCGCCGCGCAGGGCCCGCCTGTGAGGTCAGGGCGGAGGTCAGAGGTCAGAGACCACCGCGCCGCACCGGGCGCCGGCCGCCGCGCGGGGCCCGCCTGTGAGGTCAGGGCGGAGGTCAGACTCACTGGACCACTTTGAACAGACACACGAACAGACGGACGGACGGACGGACGGACGGACAGACAGACAGAGAGAGACAGACGGACGGACGGACAGACGGACAGACGGACAGACGGACAGACGGACAGACGGACAGACGGACGGACGGACGGACGGACGGACGGACGGACGGACGAACGGTCAGACGGACAGACAGACGGACAGACGGACAGACGGACAGACGGACAGACGGACAGACGGACAGACGGACAGACGGACGGACAGTTGCACAGACAGACAGCCGTACAGATGGACAGACGGACAGACGGACAGACGGACAGACGGACAGACGGACGGACGGACAGTTGCACAGACAGACAGCCGTACAGACGGACAGACGGACAGACGGACGGACAGACGGACGGACAGACGGACGGACAGACGGACGCACAGACGGACAGACGGACAGACGGACAGACGGACAGACGGACAGACGGACAGACAGACAGACGGACAGACGGACAGACGGACAGACGGACAGACCGAGTATGTACGCTTACCTCAGAGTGTGGCCCCGAGCGTTCCGCGTGCAGCATCCGCAGCTCCTCCTGGGTGCAGGCCGTGCGGGCCTCGTACCGCTCCAGCATCCGCTGCAGGTCCGCCCTCTGGTCCTGACTGGTGCGCAGCAGCACCTCTGAGAGAACAGGGGGCGCGTCAGAGCCAGCTCCCAGCCGACAGGGTCGTGAGCAAATATCTTGGGATAAATTTACGCAGGATAACGTATCGTAAACTGCAACAATACTTAAACATCACTTAGGATGTAACACGCAGTAGAATCTTCTGACAACAAAATTGAGTTTCAATAGAGAATGCATCGTACCCAGATCTCTCCGATGCTGCCTTCGAATCTCCTCCCCGGCCGCCTCGGAGTCCTCCACGTCAAAGAAGTCCTCTTCCTCCGCCTCTTCATCACCTTCTTCCTCATCCTCCTCTTCTTCCTCTTCTTCGTCTTCATCCTCGTCGGTCTCACTTCCTCGACCGTTCACCACGGGCGAGGGATCTGCAGGATGGAGGATTTCGTTCAGTTATTGTATGTCCTATAAGCTATATATAGGAAACATTATAGCTAGGAAACATTAGAAAGAGACCTGCAATTAAGTAGCTTGAATCAGGCTTGAATAAGCAATCACCAATCACTGTAAGTCAACCGACACAGCCCGGTTCAAGCCGCTTCAGCGCTCGCTGTTTGCTCTCGACGGAGATGGACGATCAGGACAATGATTCCAGTATAGAAGAGATGAAGTCAGTGAGCGGATCGTGCCGGGCTTGGATATGATAGACAAAGGGAAACATTCGACTATAAATTTTGCTGTGTCCTCGGAATTGGTCAAATGGGCAGTGGCTTCCTTTGCTCATGCTCTACTTACCTTTTGCATTTTGTTGTACAATTGGTTCTGGTTTCGAGCTCTCGAACGCATGCTGCAGCTTTTCTTGAAGAACAGATAGGTCATTCTTAGCTTGCTTCTGTATTCGCTTGATTTCAAAATAATGACTTTCATCCTTTTGTATAACTTCGTCTCTTGCGGCAGCCAGCTAAAAATGAAAAAACTTCAGCTGTTTGAATAAAACAACAAACTCAAAAGTGAAAATCATAAATAGCTCGCCCATCACCAATGGCCGTAAAAATGTGAAACGGTTACACATAAAATCATTTGAATGAAACGCACACATCCTCTCGTTCCAGCCGCCCTTCCCCTGCTCCGGCCTCCCCTACCTCCTGCTCCAGTTTCCTGACGGTCTGCTCCTGGTCCTGTTTGGCGGTCTGGAGCTGCTGCTCCAGCTGAACTCTGACCGACTCCACAGCCAGGTGCTTCTCCTCCGAGTGCAGGGCGTCCAGCTCGGCCTTGAGGGCGCTGCGCTCCTGTCGCAGCCGGTCCTCCCACTGGGCGGAGAGAGTAGCGCGACTCTCCTCCCGGGAGTCCGTCTGCTCCTGGACCCGCTGCAGCTCCTGTGCACGCAGGCGCGCAGGGATGGGTAAGTTGTATCAGCAGTCGGGTTGTTCGTTTCGATTCGTTGGTTAGCACTTGACACTGTTCGATATTTTTTCTATCTGAGGCCATTTTACGACCGTAGGGTGAGAGGATGAGAGCACTGAGCGACTTTGGGCTAATTTGACCAGCGACTGGGGTGCCACAGTGGCTGAGTCCATCTCCTGTTTAGACGGGAGTGGGGCCCGTGAAACAGGCCACCCAGCTGTTCAATTTAAACGGTTTCCCGGAGGGTTATTTATGCTCCTATATGTAGTTGCTGTCCCTTTAGCTAGTTGTCATTCCCGGTTGTCTAGGTGGGGTGGGATGAGCCAGAGCGTAAGCGTTGGGAGTGCTGCCTCATGTACTGATGAGGATAAAATCATAGATTGATCCTGATAATCATCAGAGAACGGATTAGGAATTATGCTTTCAGCTTTTCTTACTTTCTGTAAACCACTGATGGCCTAATGATGTCAGTAGTCGCTCCCACCTTCTGTATGCTGCTGATGGTTCCGTTTTGTTTTCTGACGAGCTCGTTCAGTCGCCGGTTCTCGTCTGCGGCCATGGCCTCGGCCATTTTGGCCACCTCCACCTGGCGGTTGCCAGCGCGCAGCTCCCTCATCAGCTCGTGCGAGAGGCCCCTCAGCTGGACCACCTCTGCCTCGAAGGAGCGCAGCAGCTCCACCTGGCGCACAGTGGGGCACATCAGCGACACCCAGCGACCAGCGGCGGAGGCAGCACCTCCACCTGGCGCACAGTGGGGCACATCAGCGACACCCAGCGACCAGTGGCGGAGGCAGCTGGGGCGCTGTCAGTGGGTGAATGCTGTGCAGTGTGAACGATATCGTCACCTAACCCGGGGAACCACTCGTTAGAGACATCTGATGACAAGCGGCGAAAGTAGTAATAGCAGTGTGTGTGAGAGTGTGAAGTGCGAACGTCCTTTGCAGTTCTTTCATCCCACTCTCTCTCTCCCCTATGACCCCACCTGTCATCGGAATCGCCCGTGGATACAGCGTCCCACGCGATCGGCGCTGGTTTTGGCACCTCTCCCCGAACCGCGACGGCGGGGCTCAAATATTACTCAGCCGCTAAGAGTGACTGATGATTCTCGCACACTTTGTGCTCAGGTCAACGGAACGCGAAATTGATACACAGCTGATGTGAAATAGATGTGCTTGATTTCTCGAACGTGTCGGTGGTTAATTAATTACCGGGTCAGTGTTCAATATTCTGGTCACTGAACTCTTGCTGGGCTGTTGGAGCACATGCGAAGCGCGCTGTGCGCTGAGGAATGAGAAGGGTAGGTGTCCAGGACATACACGTGGATATCAGGCCGGACCGTAGTTGTGTAACTTTTTGGAGTGTGGACTGGGTATCCAGCTCAGCCCTGCCCTAGACCTAAGAGGTCTGATTTACCTCTCCGCTCCGTCCGACCCACCAGCAGTCAGCACGGCAGTTTTTCCCGGCCAAACCAAACCGCCCCCGTCCGACGGGACTGGGGGGGGGGGGGGGGCTGTTGGCACGGCGACGCGACCATGCACCTCCGACTGGTGCGGGGGGGGGCTAATACGTCATCTGACGTCATTGGAACATTTCGGGTCGGCCGCCGCCTGAAGGTCAGTGGACAGGAAGGCCCAGGGCACTCTGCCAGGGCCGACGATCCGGTTTCTTGCGAACGGGGTGATTGGTATACATGTAAACATGTGTTTTCGAAACGGATATTACGCCATAGCTAAATCGGATAGCTTGAGGCCTGCACGAAGGTTACCTATAGGGCTTCACAACAACATCTGACTGTAGGGGACACTGCGGATGTGGCGAGCATTATTACTGACCATAACAGCAGTTTCTATCGAAATCGATTTAACAGATCTATGTAAGACGTGAGATCTAATCATAAATTCAACTCAAGGAAATGTACCTGCAAGACATGCACGACAAGAGAAAATGGAGAGAGAGAGAGAGAGAAGAGAGAGAGAGAGAGAGAGAGAGAGAGAGAGAGAGAGAGAGAGAGAGAGAGAGAGAGAGAGAGAGAGAGAGAGAGAGAGAGAGAGAGAGAGAGAGAGAGCGAGAGAGAGATGAGGGAGGCAGTAATAAGAAGAAGAAGAAGGAGGAGGAGGAGGAGGAGAAGAACAACAACAACAACAACAACAACAAAAAATAAGCAGAGCAAGAACAACAAGAAGAACAAGAGAAAGAAGCAGAAGAAGAAACAATAACAGAACAGGATAAGATAAGGGGGAAAAAACACGAACGTTTTATAAGGTGGTATATTCTCATGATTCGGACTTGGGTAAAACATTTTTCACTTACCTCAGTGACCTTTTGCTCGCCGCCAACCATGTCAATGTCCCGCCTTTGACTTCGAAGCGACTCTAGCTCGTCCTCTATGGATTGACGAGCAATCTTCGCCCGTTCCTGAAGACAAGGCGGTATTCTAAAGTCTACGTTACCAGAATATTTCCAATAGCTTTATTTCATAGTTAGCTTAGCCGTTGGGTACACACTAAATATCATAACGTAATATTATTGTCAAAACATTTAGAAGACAACCTTCCCATTCAATGAAATCACCAGCCGGCAGCCTTTATAAACTTCCAATCGGTAAATCCTCCCGAAGTGCGAATGAAGAAATCAATGACTCTTATAGTCCAAGGATCCTCCTACCTCGGCGGCCTTTTCGCGCTCCTCGAGCCGCCGTTTCCAGTCGCGCTGCATCTCGCGCAGGCGCGCCTCGGCGTCCTCCATTAGCTGGGTCTCGCGCTCTGCCGTCACCGTCTTCAGCTGCTCCACCTCGCGCCGGTAGCTGGCCTCCAGGTCGGCGTTCTCCTTCAGCGCCTCGTCCAGTGCCTGCAACACGCGCGCTCCGGGGTTACTGCAGCTGGTGGCAGAGGGGCTGCATTGAACACACTTCAGCGCCTCGTCCAGTGCCTGCAACAGGCGTTCCGGGGTTACTGCAGCTGGGGGAAGAAGAGCTACATATGACGAGCTGTAACGGCGAGAGACGACAAGGTTCGAGTTATTTTTGACTACGTCATACTGTTCTATATTTGTTTGGCTTGACCTATACGCACATAACTACGTCCATGATTTAATACATCAACATGCGTCAATCTACATCTATTACCCCTCGCCGGACATCCTGGTGTTCTACTAGTGCGGTGCGCCGGCCGAGGGGGGGGGGGGCGAGTACGACTCCCCTCGCCGTTTCGCCCCTGATGGAGCTAGAGCGTCGCCCTAGCGACGTCATAAGTGACGTCAAGCAAAATCAACAATGCAAAAGTGATACATCGAAACCTGTAAGGAGTGCATGAAATCACGATTCCATGTGGTTGAGATGGTTTGAGATCGTTCTCAGCGCCAAAATAGCAGTTTTCTTTTTTCTCATTGACTTATACTGGTGAGGTCACGCCACTGAGTACCGACCTGACCTCATGTGACCTTTAGGAAAAATCTGAGATATATAAATTCTGAGACCTCTGATGGATACTCGTTTCTGTAAGTTTCATCTCCCTTCGAAAGCTCTCTGGCACTGAGGGCGTTACGAAGTTACGACATCTGAAGACCGTGCAGAGGTTCACTTATGACGTCATAGGTCAGTGACCTGACCTGACCTAAAAATTTGGTTGGTATCAAAAGATCCGGCTTGAATCAAACGTCAGGTATGCCAACTTTTCAACCTTTTATCCCAGCGTGTTCGGAGCTATTGCGAAAAAAAACTATGGGAGGGGGCGGCACCCACCCCCCTCGGCCGGCGAGGGTTAATTAAATTACCTACTTTCACAAAAAAAGCTATCACTCAAATGTAGGGTATGTTTTCCCTTCTTCGCAAGCTTTTCTGTTTAAATATACGTACGGCCCTCCAGGAAAAGAGTGGTTGGTTAGCCTATGTGCTTTTGGTGAGTAATAACTTTCAATGACAGAGACACTCCTGTAAAATGACTCAATAGAAATGAGAAGAGGGTTCGTGCACACACTTTGGCAATGGTTTTCAACAGCCATTAGACGTATTCATCAATGCAGATCACTTATTGTGATGTTGGCAACCAACCACTAAATACCTGGAGGGCCGTACACATACCTATACCTACGAGAAAATCGTCTTAGATGAATTAAACTCCCCTACTCTTCTAACAGTTTACCTCATCTAAAGAAAAAGGTGACCGCAATATATAATTGATTCTTAAGAAATTTATTTCCATTTTCTTGCCAATTTCTAGGCATCCGACTGTTTCGTGACAAATATATGAGCGTAAATAAAAATCATCTTCAAAGTAGTATTCATGCTGTGACCATTGACGGTCTTTTTAACACATGTTTTTGATACGCTATAAATAAATTTTCGGGTGCAAGAAGCATATACGATATACACAAGTTTCTGTTTTAAAAACATCAGAGTGAAGTAGAAGTAGCTACAAGTACGAGTACACACGAATATTTAAACAACTACAGGTAACTAGCTACAGGGGAGCATATCCGGGTTCGTGCGATTCACTATACATTTACATAAAATATATCTTCTACTAGCATTCACTAATATTATCGCATGCGACACGGGTGTAAGGTCAACAAAATCGTCGGATTTCACTAACTAAGCCAAACAGTGTCGATCGGGGCGGTCTCGGCTAACACCGGCGGCTGGGCTGACCTGGCGGCCGGCCAGTGCGGCGCGGCGCCGGTCCTCAATGGCGCGCCGCCTGCCAAATCGGTGTCCAAGTCCGGTGACCGTCTGTGCCGGACCGCGCCGGACGGTCCGGGCCGGGCCGGACGCCGCGAGGCGTCCCGGAGAGGTTAGTCACCGGGGACCACGGCAGAGGACAGCACCGGGCGATCGCTCCTACCTTTCTCACCTCCTGAATCATGCGGATCTCCTGCATACGCTGCGTCTCGGAGACGCGCAGGCTCTCGCGGACTGTTGCGAGCTCCGTCCTGAGAGCCTCCACCTCCGCAGGGTCAATGGTGGGCGGGGGCGGCGGCGGCGGCGGCGGTGGGGCGGCCGCCGCTGCCGCCACGGCCAGCTTCGCAGTCCTGAGCTGAGTTTCGAGGTGTACTATTTGCTCTGTGAAGCAGCAGTCGACATCGAGTGATGCATCTTGTCACGTGGCGGGTAGGGACGGGCTATCACAGAAGCAAAACGAAAGTTGCATGAATTCCGAAATAGCACCTACTGCAATGCGGTAAAGCATTATCCCTGGCTGCGGGAGGTTTCGGCTTTGATTCCTGTCGTACTGTCGTCCCCAGCTGCAGCACCAGAGTTGGGGTGGTCTCCCACTGCTGCCGCAGCCCGGGGCGGCTGGAGGAGAGGAGCAGGAAGCGCGAGGCATCACCTGACTCCACTGTTCACCCATTACACGCGGCGGCGCGGGTCGCTCGGCCGGCGGGACTCACTGTTCTGGTCGGCCGTCTGCTGACTGAGCCGGGCGACCTCGCCCCTGGCCTCCTCAGCCGTGCCCTCGAGCTTCGCCAGCTGCTGGGCTGTCCGAGACAGCTCGGCAGTCTTCTGGTTCAGCTCCAGCTGGGCGTCTGGGGACAGTCCAAGACTGGTCAGTTACATATGGTCGGCAATATGAGAAAAGGTTCGGGAATGGCGGGTACATAAGATCAATTAGATAATGTTTGGTTAGGTATCCGGCCGTAGGTACTGTTGGTTTGAGTTTTTCATGCAGTGGTGGGGAGGGGAGGTGCGTTTTCACGCCCCCTTCCCCCGTCTAACTCGGCTCCTTCGTCACGTAACAGCACGCGTTTAGCGGCATACGAAGAAACGTAAAAAAATAATGACTTGACATTTTTAGGCCAGATCAAAGGTCATGTCACCACTCACCAGAGATCATCAAAGATCACATTTTGCCTAGTTCAACAATTTTCGACAAGTCGGTGCATAACTCGGCATCGAATAAAGCTACAGCGCCGCAGAAAAGCGCATCCAATAGCTCTTTAAACGCTCGACTTTGTTTTCAGGTTTCACCTCAGAGCATCGGTTGAGCCTCTGGTGGACAAATACTTTTAAAATTGCCGTTTTACGAAAAACATGTTTTTTTTTCCTGCATTAACTTTTGACTCTTGAAAGTCATAACTTCGCTCTTGCAAGGATCGTGTTCCTCTGGTTAAGCCACGCCGAATCCACTATTATGTGACCTTGAAAAATCATTTTGAACATTCGAATTCAGGTCAAGGTTATGACTTGACCGGAAAAGGTCAAGATGCATACCAGTCGATCCGCATCGTCGCCCTGAGCACATCTTTGGAGCCTTCAGAGCTCTAGCATGTCTCTTTCAAAAGTTACTGTAAAAAAAACTGCTTGAGACTCTTCATGACCTGAGATGACCTCAGAGGTAGAAGGAGGGGCCACGGGTGCAATTTGCCGGTCCAGTGTGTTATGCTTACCTGTGAAGTGTAAACTGATGCTTGAAAGTTTTAAGAACGACGTTCGTCCATAGACGCCTTTCAATTTACTCCCATTGGCTTATGGAAAGCTTGCAAAATTAGCCTGACCTTAGGTCACAGATATCAATGCTCCGAGATGAACATAATATAGATGAACACCATCGTGCTATAAAGATACAAGTCACCGTTAGAAAAAAAAAATCAACTTCAAAATGTCACCTTTATGTCCTGCACCATGACCTTGACATTGCTATGAATAGTTCAAAACGGCTTCAGACGGAACAGATTCACAGTTTCAGGTCAATTTCATATTTCAAATTGTTTGACCAAAATGGACCATAAAACATGTGTCACCTGACCTATACAATCTTAAAAATTTCTGTTACCATTTGTGACCTAATCTGACCTAGTTTTGACCCGAAACACACAAGTAGAAGCTCGGTACCAATGAATCTTTGGCATACATTTATGATTGTGTAAAACAAATATGAGCTTTTGGTAAGCAGTGTTTGCAATTGATATGCTGCATTCGAATTGGTGTAGAAGCGATATATGTAGTAAAAATTAAACGCACACATTACCACTGTCATTACCGTGAAATAGTCACCGCCTGGTTATGAATACCTATTTCTCACCCACCGCTATTTTATCCCGTTCGCCATGTCTACATGTAGTCTGTGGCAATATCTCATGCCACTCACAGAGTTTGGGGCCTGTTTATTTAGGATTTCCATAAACACGACTGGCGGTTTTAACTCGCAAGGCAAGAGCCTTGAAACAATCGTGGTGCAAAACAGCGACTGAACGAAACGTTAAGGATTCAGTACTAAAGGCAGGCATGGGTAAGCTTTATTGAAAACAAAATGATTCATTTTAATTAAGTATCCCTCACCACTTATTCTTTGGAGCGCTCTTGCGAGAAAAATATGGATATCTTTCGTTTATATCCCTCGCCGTATTGGCCTTCTTACATCGTCGGGAGGGGGGAGTGAGGTCCGTAAGACCCTCCCTAAAGCCGTTCAAAACCTGCTCAGGCTAGAGATTCACGAAAAAACGTGTGTTGCTCGTAACGAATGGAGGCCACTGGCACTCAATTCAAATACCCTTCATAGGTCGACCTTCCAAGTCAGGTCAATGGCCCGAATGTTGGGAACATCGGGGCCTGCTATGAACTTTTCCAGGCGAGGTGTTATGGGGATTGCTGGGGTCCAGATTTCGATTTTTGTGTTAGAATTTGATCCAAGATGATTTAATCATGCATTTGTGATAGGTCGGGTCAGGTCAGGTCAACTAGCAAGCGTCCCGCCGGAAATTTTTAGGAGGCCCGTGTGGACGACCACTGACAGCTTCGTGACATGCTACATCTAGAAAACAAAACCAGTTCTCAATCGTTCAAATGGGTGCTACTGCCTAATTCGAAATTAGCTTAAAACTGGCCTTAAAAGTTGTAAAACTAAAACAGCAGCTGAAGTCATCTCGGGTCGAGGACATTGACCTCCACGTTGCCTACATATGCCTTTGTTAACTAGCAATTGACGGACTCCATGCCAATGGGCACAACAAAGCATCAATGCCGTCTATAAACAACAAATAGAAACACTATCGTTCTCCATTGTGACCGAGCATACGAACAGCAACATTTTTATTTTACCAGACCTGAAATAAGTTTAAGGTTGACCTAAAGTGAAGCATCACATGCCTCCTATCATCCTTAAGTGTTTTCATTTGTCACAAGGCGTATCGGAAAAGGCACCAATAATACTCCATTATTTTTTTGCCGGTCATTTTTCACCACCTACCTGGTGTGCTCCGGGCCTGTCCCCACATCACAGAGAAGCCCCGCCCCGGCTCGGGAGCAGGCCACTGACTGGCCCCACCCCCGGCAGCTAAGAGGGCCGCCCGCCGGCCGCGTGTGCGCCGTCACCCGCCATAAACATTCGGTCAGATTGTCTGCCCCGCTGGCACAGTGCCCTCGGCGCCGCTCAGACATGGTCCTGACATCGGCGCGCTAAACCTGACAGAGCCGACAGAGCCAATCACACTCAGTGCTGCGGCGCCTGTCTCCAGCCATTCGGGTGGAGAAGTGCCGTGCCTTTATAGGTTTACGGACAATTTTTTCGCTTTGGTAGTTTAGGTCCTCTGGGCTTATTGAGACTATTTTAGAGTCATGGGATGAGAACATAAAGTGACATTGGGCTTAGACGGCCACTGGCTGGTGGGCTGCAGCCGCCACTCCCGTTCCGTGGGGATGGCAGTGGACTGGTGAGATGGGCGGCCCACTGCAACTGCTCAGCTACTCAAACGAACAGCCCGGAGACGGATTCCCCTTTCTAAGTTGTCATTCAAAATGCCGATTGTCTGGTGGAGTTATCGTCAACGCGGTCGGGCGGGTGGGACGCCTACTTTATTATTTTTTTTTTCTATTTGTTGCGGTCAGGGCGGTCAATATTCGGATGGATGGGGTTCTAATGATTAAGAAAAATTAATGCACAAAAACAACCGTAGTAAGCAGTACCTTTGCACCTATTATGCATTTCAGACCCTGTGGAACAGTCCTTTTCCGCTTTTTCTCGTTGTATATGCGTTTGATTTTAACCAAACTTTGGTAATGGTAGTTTGAGATCCCTACCTAATTTTTATCAATATGGTCTATTAACAAAAAATGAAAAATAAAGGCACTTGTCATTGATTGATAATGTTAAGGTCATCTGAGCCCTGCTTAGAGGCTGGCACCGGCCGGCGCTGTCTCCCCTCTGATTGGTCGTGACGTGCTAGCGCACTGCGGCTTGGCTCCGCCCACTTGCGGTCCAGCCTCGGGTCATGTCGGCGGCAGTCGCCGTCTGGCCGGGCCGGCGTGCGGGCCGCGCGCGCAGCGCAGTGGAGTGGAGCACTTGTTTGCATGTCATGAACTTTTACTACAACAAATAAGGACGGAGCAAGTAAGAAAAAGGAAGAGGAGACAAAGTGACAATGAGACGAGCGGTAGACGGTGGCTAGTGGACAGCAAACAATATGCATTAACGCTATGAGCAGACACAGGAGACAAAGACTGTAGACGAAAGACAGACAATGATGGTAAACCAGAGACAAGTGACGGAGATAGAGATTAGAGAGTCGAGAGATTGACAAGGGGTAGAGAAGGATGGGAGATCAAGATCATTAACTCTCGATATTGCATATCTGCATTTTCAGATTGAGTCATCCTATCTTTCCCTGTTTTATTGTTTTTCGACCCTAAGATCTATCAACAATATGCTTAAAGCATTGTGGAAATATTATGGAAAGATTGACTATTTTTACCCCCCCCCCCCCAAAAAAAAAAATATTTCAAAAAAAAACTAAACGCAAGTAGGGGAAGTTGGGGCAATGCCGGAGTTGGGGCAAAGCCGAAATTCGAGATATTTCAAAAACCGTAAGACATGGATGCCACCTGTCAGTGATGCTCTGAAGCTTAAGTGACTACAATTATCCCATGTTTGTTACGAGTCGTCATTCGGAATACTTCGGCTGTGAGGGCGCCAAGAGCGTTTTCAAGGTACGCGTTCCTTGTACTACATGCGCCTTTGAAGCTGCATTACTTACTCATTATGCTACCGTTTGTCTGGCCAATTCGGTCAAGTAATCTTCAGCATGTCTTTGCATAAGTGTGCTGCCTATTTGAAATTTATACGGCACGTTGAAAAGTTATGGGCCTGCAAATGAAAGTATGGCTGGCTGGGGTAATGCCGAAAACGTGCAATTACGCACGTTAACCCTATTAGTGGCAGGGGGGGGGTTGTTTTTATCCACCCCTCAGGTTTTTCGGGAATATCTCCGAAACCGCTGAAGCTACGATGCTGAAATTTTCTGACTTTTCCTAAAACTAAATTGGGCACATTCCCTGAAAATTTCAAGTTCATAACTTTACCAGGGGCGGCTCCAGAGCACTGGGAATTGGGGGGTCCTATTCGTGAAGCGTCATTTGGGCGAAGATCACGATGCTGCACCAGTTTTACGAACAGTGAATGAAAGGTATCATGTGATAACATATACAAAGTTATTGTGCATCCTCTTTTGACACGTTTTTGCTATAATAGGCGGATCCAGGAGTCCAAAAAGGGGGGTTATTTTTTACCTCCCAACATAGGTGCCCTGACACC